TTTTCTTTAAACAAAATAGAGCACCCAAGAGAGTCTTCCAGAAGATCTTAACTTTGTAACTGTGATTAGTTACTTCAATTCTAACATTCTTTGATTACAATAATAATTAACTTTTTTATGCAATAGTCCCAAGAGCCATTCTAAACCAAATCTCTAACAGTTAACAAAAAAAAAACTTATTAAAGATTATAATTGCAAACACTTTGACTTAGGCAAGATCATATTATTTTCTGAAGAAAGCAAATACGATGAATATATCTAAAATTAAGTCACAATAAGGCTGGTGAATAAACAGGACTGTCTAAACAAAATCATGAAGCTTTAAAGAGATATTTCAGTAAATATAAATACAAATTTTTCTACCAATCAGGACTGTTAAAGTAAAATGAGATCTTCAGGAATAGGGAGTTTAACATCACTGGACAACAACTTGTTGAAGATGTTGCAGACCTTTTTAAAATCAGGTTGGCTCTTAAACCTTTTAAGTTCTTTTCCAACCCAACATTCTATGGTTTTTGAAAAATCCAATTTTCTAGTTGAACCTACTAAAGAAATAGAAATCGAATGAATAGAATGGAAATCACACTCCTACAAGGGAAAAAAAAAATCTGAGAGTTGAGAAGTTTTCAGTCATCAGGGATCTAAAATAAAAGGCAGAGCGCCTACACTTAATTCAGTTGTGTCTTCTTGATTCATCACCAAACCTAACCACTCTGCCCTTCTTGGCAAAAATGAAGTCAGAATATATATAGGTTGAAACTCAGAGCAGTGTTCTGAGATTAAAACATACTGAAAGTGTTGAGGGTTAAATGAGAGTATAATACTGGGATTTATTCTAAGTCAAGACTTAGACTTCTTCAGTGGGACCAATAAAGAAAAAGAACTGAAAAAAGTAATCAGGGATTACAAAAAGACAGTAGTTTAATCAAAGGAAGGAGTATTTAAGCAAAAATTGAATAACCACTGGGTGTAGTTTTGAAAGGAGATTAAGTATGATACGGGAAAGAGTCTTGGATAAGACAAAGATATATATAGAACTCAAAATTGGAGTAATAAAAACTTTTCAAGAATAGTGAATGGTATGCAGCAGGAAAAAAATACTCCAAGTTCAACTTTCTTAACATACGTGAATGAAGAAAATACCAATTTGTTCTTCAATCAGTGCGATGTAAGTATACTTTTTAATGAAATGGTCTATATTATATGTTAAACAGTCTGAGTCTTACCTAAATTTGTTTACATGTGTATTTTATAAATTAAAGTGTAATTACTGATCTGTCAAAAATTTTAGTGAGAGCAGATATCAAATGTTATGGCTTTATTTTGGGTATATAATTAAATTCTTTTAATACACTTCAGTTATAATTAAATTTTTTCACATTTTACTGATAGCGGCAAAGATCTTAAATTATCTCCAACCCCCAACTGCCACCACATCTTATCCTATTTCTATTCACCCTTCCCCAACACGATGTTCTTAACAAACAGTTATTGAACACCAACTAGGTATAAATCACTTTGGTGGCACTGTCACAGGACCCTGAGTCTGGCATCATCACTGTCCCTACCGTAGAGATGAGAAAGATAAGACTCAGGATGCTTCAGACTCTTATTAAATGATCACAAAGCTACAAGTGACCAAACAAATAATTCAGCACAGGTTCTCTGATTCTAAACCCTGCTATACTTTGTCCATTATGCCACATTTTCCTAATTCTTGAATCGTGAACTGTGCAATTTATTCAATTTTCTAAGGATTCACAGAAATGCTAATGAGAAAAAAATGCCCCTAAAAATGAAAGCCTTAATTTGGCAAGGTGATGATTAAACTGTTACACACAGATTACTGTAGTCCAGAGGGCCCAGGACCTTTCTTCCTAGACATGATGAAGCCCTGAGGTTATCTGAAAAAGGCCAGTCATTTTTGTTTTCTGTTTTTTTTCATTCTCATGAATGAGGTTAAGAGACTCCACTAGGGACGGTAATGCTACATCTTTAGTCCTTCTTGGAGGACTACATTTGACCCAAAGTATAGCAAAATAAAAAGCTGTCAATATCATTTTTCCCCATCCTGATAAAATTTTTAACACAAACATGGCAAATAGCAACTCTACACGTTTTCAACTATCCCAGATTTTGATGTTAAAAAATGGCATAATGCTTCTGAAGATCCTAAATTGTCCAACTCCTACAATACCAGAGGGGAATCAACCTCCTACCATGGCCCTAACAGACTACAGAGGCAAGAAGAAAATATAGGACATTAACGCTGTTGTAAAGCAACTAACTAGACAAATGGAAGGAACAATGGGACAGAAGATAGGCAGCTGCATGAGGATCCACATTATTCTTCCATAAGACACCCGTTCATCTCCAGTGTTACCAGCGAAGAAAGGAGGAAGGGGGAAATGCATGGAATTATAACACATTTCTACTTGTCTACATAATGTGCTCTACTACTTGTCTAATTGGACATGTTAATACTCTTGCGCAGTAGTAGATAGTTTGGAAGTTTATTGTCTGGGCACAGGAGCAGTAAAGAAGGGAGAGAATATTAGAATATCTGTAGAAAAGGAGTTCCTATTGGTATAAACACCGTATTTCAGTAGACATGACCCTTTGAAATTCTTTGATAATTCAAAAGATGATTCAACAGCCTACCTTATAACAATTTGAAAAATTACTGGAAGAAATAAAATAATGCACCTTGCTATTATAAATGTGTCTCTTCTATCCTAGACGTTCCCTTTCTTGTTACCCTCCCATCTCTAAACCATGAAAGATCTGCTTTATTAGGCATTTTGGTGTGTGAGTCCCTTCCCAAGCTCAGCATTAATATTGCAGCAATCAGCTTTCCAAAACTACATAGATCCCAAATAACAACCAGAAAAAGTAAAACATGCCAAGAAAGTGCAGGTTATGAAAGACGTCTATATTTGATATACTCATGGGGCAGCTGAGACCCTATGTTTAATGAAGACACTCCCCCAATTCTGATTTACTTTTTTAGAAAATAGATGAGCACCTTTTGTGCTCAAATAATGAGGAATTAAAAGATAGAATATTTGACCTCAAGAAAAACAAAAGAAATTTTTAGACTTAGAAGAAATATGGAGATGATCAATATTCTTCTTTTATGGGTGTAGAAACCAGGATCAAGGATGTCAAGGAAGTAAAAAGAGCCCTGTAGCTACATTTGACAGCAAGTCAAGTTACTCCACTCCAATCACATCTGAAAGTTACTCTTAGATGAACTAACACCACTATGCATTTGTAAAGGAGTTGACTTATCAACAACCAGAAATGTTAAATAATTCTAAGAAACCAGTATTTACTTATCTAGACCAGAGAAGATGAAGACAAAAGCCCTGTTATTAAAATAATTAGGATACCTTGATTCATGAGATGAATGAGTGGTAAACAGAAATAAAGAGGCAACTATAGGAACCAGAAAAAGTCATAGCTAAATTTTCAGATGAAAAATCTGTTTAGAAAAAAAAGTCTTAGCTGTGAGACTTATCACAGTCAAGGTCATAGTATGTATTTTACTTATTTATCTAACCATCTCCCTTAACTATATTATAGGCTACATAGGGGAAGTTTTCTGTTGTGGATGTTTGTTCTGTTTTTGCTTTGTATTTTTTATTTTTCACTGATACAGTTCTAGCACCTGAAACTTTGGATGATGCATGGTATATGTTAAAAAACTAATGGTTGACCAAAGAAATGAATAAATTAAAAATAATAATAAAAATAAACTAGTTGCTGGTGGTCACTTTTCCCAGACAGAGAGGCTCAGGAAAGTGACCTCCTTTGAATAGGAACTGGGTTGGCTCCAAGGCAAGAAATTGCCTGGTTCCTGGTTCATAAATTTGCCATTTTAACTAAAACTAGAGGAAGTCACAGAATAATACACCAAAGGACACTGGTTCGATTAAAATATACAGACATGCAATAGAAGATGGTCAGCAAAGTTGAGCAGTATTCAGAGATTAAGCTGAGTGTTTCTAACACATGTATTGGCATCCAAGTTTTTGCACTGGTGTTAACAACCTTCTCTTCAAATGGCTGAAAAGAATGCAAAGTACAAGAGAGCTAGTTGAGAGAACTTGTAAGACTCAGTTGGGGAATGAGAGAGGAAAGTTTTGTTATTATCCTGCATGCTGCCATAGATGGAACATGTAAAGGAACAACAACCAAAACAAAACAAATCCACTAATCATTTTCTCATAAAGACTTTTTCAAACTATATAAAATAAGTTATGCAAATTATTGATTACATATCATGGACCTACTTGTTCTGTAGTAGTATAGACATCAAAACTTTTACATCGTTATATAAAGTATAAACAAAGAAAACTATATAGCTTTAGGGAAACATTGTAATCAAAATAACTGCATACTGTATTGATACTCAACACATAGCACCAATAACAAAAGTCAGCAGAAACAAATGCAGGTTCCCTTTCATTTCATTGTCCCGGCCACTTTTCATAGCTCCTGGTCTTTGATTTAGAAGTTACCTTCAAAGTTGAAATAACTTTGAGAAAAGTAACTCAAGTTTTATTAACTTTCTCTTTCTCCATTTTCCTGATGGATTCTCAGTTAAGTTCGTCTCTCTTCTTAGGCACAGAACTTAGCTGGGGAAATACTAGGTCAGGAAGAGCAGAAGGGAAAGACAGGAAGGAGCATTGCATAAAAGAGACTAAAATCATAAAGACTAGAACTTGGAGGGACCATGGAGACAATTTCATTCAACCAAAAACTTTAAATATGAGAAGAGTGATGTTGGAAGAAGTAATATCATTTACCCAAGGTAAATTTTTCAGGGTCAGAGGAAAATTGTGAACAAATCACCTTGACTCCTCACACAAACCTTTTATTACTTCACTATTATCACAGATATGAGGAGTTGGAAACTTCTATAGGCTGACTTTCATCTCTCTATTTTGTTATTTTTTCAGAGATTTGCTGCCCACTAAGCATAGCCTGCAATGGACATGCAAAATCAGACTGTGGTGACTGAATTTACCCTGACTGCCTTTCCCCTTCTTTGGAAGCTTCAGATTGCCCTTTTTGTGGTCCTCTTGTTTACTTACATGCTGACTCTAGCAGGAAATATTGTCATCATTTCCCTAATATGGGCTGATTGTCGCCTCCAATCCCCAATGTACTTTTTCCTCAGTAATTTGTCATTTTTGGACATTTTATACACTACTTCAGTTACTCCAAAGCTGTTAGCTTGTCTCCTGGAGGAGATAAAGACCATATCCTTTGCTGGCTGCATCACCCAAACATATTTCTTCTTTTTCTTGGGGACAGTGGAGTTTATCCTCTTGGCAGTGATGTCCTTTGACCGCTATGTGGCCATCTGTAACCCCCTGCGCTACACCATCATCATGAACAGCAGAGTTTGCCTTCTGCTGGTCCTGGGCTGCTGGGTGGGAGCCTTCCTGTCCGTGTTGTGCCCAACTGTTGTGGTGTCCAGATTGCCTTTTTGTTATAAGGAAATTAGTCACTTCTTCTGTGACATTGCTCCTCTGCTACAGGCAGCCTGTATAGACACTCATTTCATCCAGATGATAAACTTCCTCTTATCTACTCTCATCCTCCTGACCTCACTGGTGCTCACCATTGTGTCCTACACCTACATCATTTCTACCATCTTGCACATCCCCTCAGCCCAAGGACGGCAGAAGGCCTTTTCCACCTGTGCTTCTCACATCACTGTCGTTTCCATTGCCTACGGGAGCAACATCTTCATGTATGTGAGGCCCAGCCAGAGTCACTCACTGGATTTTGACAAGGTGACAGCTGTCCTCACCACAATGGTGACCCCTCTTCTGAATCCCTTCATTTACAGTTTAAGAAATGAAAAGGTAAAGGAAGTCTTGAAAGAAGCAATCAACAAAATTATGTCCTTATTGCACAAGAGAACTTGAAACTTCAACAAAGGTTGTTTACTTAGAATGGGTATTTTCAACTCTTTGACTCATGGTGGAGAAAGACATGTTACAAGACCAAGAAATCAAAGATCTATGGGAACGTATGAATAGGCTTGGTGCTTCCTCAGAGACAAAGAATCATAGTCAAGATTCAGAGGAGATAATTCAGACATAGAAAAAAAGAACAGTTTCTGAACTCTATTATTAGACCACCGTGCATACACACAATATCATTAAGGACAAATAGTGAATTGAAGTAAGAAAATCTGAATTTTAAGCCTGGCTTTATCACTTTTTTGTCAGGCAACTAAGTGTTAGCAGGCAACTTAGCCTATCTGAACTTTAGTTTATAAAGTGGGGAAAGTTTTTGTACTTTTTGTTGTTGTTGTAGGCTTAACTAAGATAGTTTAAGAAATGGAGCCACATATAATTAAAGGCAAACATTCTTGAAGTCATGAATTTGAAAACATAAACTAAGAGAAGTGTACAGAGAAAAACTGAATAGAACATTCTCTTAAAGGTCACATTCCCACTCCTGTATTGGAGAAAATATGTGGCAAACTTATAAAGTGTTGATACATATTTTAAAATTCCAAAAGTAATACAGGATTTTATTTCCAATAGGCAGCCTGAAAGAATTGCACCTTTGGGAACAAATCAGCCCTATACATAAAAAAGGCTGAAATTAGACAACCATCAGGGGAGGACTCTTAAATCTTGGTTAATTAAAAATGGCATGAAAAAGCAGGGAGTGATGGAATATCTACTAAAATCTGAATGGTTCATTATAAGTGGTCTCAATGTTCCACCAACTCCTCAAACTAGAATAGGACCATAATAGATTTGCTCAATTTATACTAGCTTTGATATGCTTTTTAAAACTGAACATAAAAAAGAGAAATCTACAGTATGTGCAAATAAAGTGCTGATCAAAATGGTGTGAGGTAAAGGGGAGGATTATGAATGTGAATGATGAGAGGGCCATGGTCTCTTGGCACGAAATACAGCAGGAGAACAGAGCCAGTCTGCATGGGCATAGGCAAACTGGCCTGGGGGCTGCTGGACAGTGATGCACACTGTACTGTCATACACAAATGTAATGATTTAAAGATAAAGGACAATTAAGTAACTTAAGGGGCATGGTAATGCACACAAAAAAATAAGGATATAAAGTAAGAATTTTTGCTGTAGTTTTCCCAGTTATTTTTTTCCAATTCTATTGTGTTATTATTGACAAATAAAAATTGTTTATAGTTTAGATGCACAATGTGATGTTTTGATATCATATACACTGTGAAACAATTGCCACAGTCAAGCTAATTAACATATGCATCACCTCACATAGTTGCCATTTATGTGTGTGTGATGAGAATACTTAAAATCTACTTTCTTAGCAAATTTCAAGTACAAAATGCAGTATTATTAACTATGGTCACCACGTTGTACATTAGATCTTCACAACTTATTCATTCTGGATAACTGAAACTTTGTACCCTTTAACCAAGAGCTCCTCATTTAACTAACTCCCAGGCCCTGGCAATTACCATTCTACTCTTGTGTTTTTGTGAGTTTAAAATTTTCAGATGCCACATAAGTAGAATCATGTGGTATTTGTCTTTGTAATCTGGCTTATTTCTCTTAGCATAAGAATCCCAAGTTTCACCCATGTTGTTGCAAAAGCAGGATCTCCTTCTTTTTTAAAGCTGAGTAATATTACATTGTATTTACATACCTCATTATATTATTAATTTATTCACTGATACACACTTAGTTTGTTTCCATATCTTGGCTATTGTGGGATTGCTGGATCCTATGGCAATTCTATTTTTAATTTTTTAAGGAACCTCCATACTGTTTTCCATTATGGTTGTACCAATTTAAATTTATACCATCAGTATACCAGGTCTCTCTTTTCTCCATATCCTCACCAACACTTGCCATCTCTTTTCTTTTTGATAATAGCCATTCTAACAGCTATAAGGTGATCTTATTGTGATTTTGACTTGTACTTCTCTGATAATCGATTAGTAATGTTGAGCACCTTTTCATATACCTGTTGATGATTTGTATATCTTCTTTGGAGAAATGTCTATTCAGGTCCTTTGTCCATGTTTTAATTGAGTTATTTGTTTTTTTACTGTTGAATGTTTGAGTCCCCTACATATTTTAGATATTAAACCCTTATCAAATGTATGGTTTGCAAATATTTTCACCCAATCCATAGGTTTTCTCTTCCCTCCCTTGACTGTTCCTTGGTTGGGCAGAAGTTTTTTAGTTTGATGAAACTGCACATGTCTAATTTTCCTCTTGTTGCTTGTGCTTTTGATGTCATATCTAAAAAATCATTGCTCAGACCAAATTGAAGTTGCTTTTCCCTATATTTGCTACTAGGGGTTTTACAGTTTCAGGTCTTATGTTTAAGTCTCTAATCTATTTTGAGTTGATTTTGGCATATGGTGTAAGATAAAGGTCCAATTTAATTCTTCTGCATGTGGATATCCAGTTTTTCCAATACCATTTAATAAAGAGGCTGCCATTTCCCCATTCTGTGTTCTTGGTATCTTTGCTGAAAGTCAATTGACCATAAATGCATGTTTTAATTACAGGCCTTCTATTCTGTTCCATTGGTCTTTAAGTCTATTTTTATGTCAATACCATGCTGTTTTGATTACAGTAGGATTGTAGTAGTAATATATTTTGAAGTCAGGGATCATCACGCTTCCAGCTTTTTTTTTTTCCTCAAGAAGATTGCTTTGGCTCTTCAGAGTCTTTTGTGGTTCCATACAAATTTTAGCTTTTCTTCTCTTTCTATGGAAAAATGTCATTGGCATTTTGGCAGGAATTAACATCGAATCTGTAGATTACTTTGGGTAGTATGGGCATTTTAATAATATTTATTCTTCCAATCCATGAATATGAGATATATTTCCATTTATTTCTGTCTTATTCAACTTCTTTCATCCATGTTTTATAGTTTTCAGCATACAGGTCTTATACCTCTTTGGTTAAATTTATTCCTAAGTATTTTTCATTGCTATTGTAAAAGGGATTGTCTCCTTAATTTTTTTTTGAATAGTGTGTTGTTAGTGTATAGAAACATTACTAACTTTTGTACATTTGATTTTGCATCCTGCAACTTTACTAATTTTTTTATTAGCTCTAACAGTTTTTTGGTGGAGTCTTTAAGGTTTTCTATATATAAGATCATGTCATCTGCAAACAGACCACAGACTCTTGATTGAAAATTCAATTTCTTCCTTCCTGATCTGGATGCCTTTTTCTTTCTTTCCCTCATCTAATTACTATGGCTAGGACTTCCAGTACTATGTTGAATAGAAGTGGCAAGAATGGGCATCCTTGTCTTGTTCTTAATCTTAGAGGAAAAGCTGTCAATTTTTCACTATTGATAATGATGTTTGCCGTGGACTTGTCATATATGGCCTTTATTATGTTGAGGTTCATTTTTCTATACTTAATTTGTTAATAATATTTATCATGAAAGGATGCTGAATTTTGACAAATCTTTCTGCATGTATTGAGATAATTATAGTTTTTGTCCTTCATTCTTCATTCTTTTAATTTGTTGTATCACATTTATGGATTTACATATGTAGAATCATCCTTGCCTCACAGGAATAAATCCCACTTGATCATGGTGAATGATCCTTTTGGTGTGCTGTTGAATCAGTTTGCTAGTATTTCTCTGAAAATTTTGCATCTATGTTCAGTAGGAATATTGTCCTGTCATTTTCTTTTCTTGTACTATCCTTGTCTGACTTTCGTATGAGGGTTATGCTGGCCTCATAAAATGAGTTTGGAAGTGCTCCCTCTTCTAAACTTCAGCAGTGAAACCATCAAATCCAGAACATCTTTATTATTGATTCCATCTCTTTACTACCTATTGGGAAGTTCAGATTTTCTCTTTTCTCATGAATAAGTCTTGGTAGGTTGTATGTCTAGAAATGTATCCATTTCTTCTAGGTTATACAATTTGTAGGTCTACAGTTATTCAAAGTAGTCTTCTATGATCCTCTGCATATCTGTGGTATCAGTTGTAATGTCTCTCCTTTTATTTATCATTTTATTTGAGTCATCTTTCTGTTTGTTAGACAGTCCAACTAAAGATTTGAATTTTTTCACCTTTTCAGAAAACCAACTCTTAGTTTTATTGATCTTTTGTATTGTTTTTCTAGTTTCTAGTTCATTTATTTCTACTCTGATCTTTATTATTTCTTTCCTTCTACTAACTTTGGACTTAGTTTGCTCTTTTTTCCTAGTCCTTGCAATGTAACATTAGGTTGTTTGAGACCTTTTTCTTTTTCTATGTAGGTGTTTATTGCTATCAACTCTCAGAACTGCTTCTGCTGCATCCCATCAGCTGTGGTATGTTGTTTGTTCATTTTTGTTTCTCTCAAGATATTTTTTATTTTATTGTTAATTTATTCCTTAGAAGCATTTTCTTTGATTTTCATCTATTTGTGAATTTTCCCAAAATCCTCTTGCTAATGATTTCCAGTTTCATACCACTGCAGTCAGGAATAACACTTGTTATAATTTCAATCATATTTAATTTGTTAACACATTTTTTGTAGTCTAACATATGCTCTATCCTGGAGAGTGCTCTCTTTATGCTTAAAAATAATGTATATTCTGCTGCTATTGGATATATTGTTCTATATATGTCTGTTAAGTCTATTTGGTCTAAAGTTTAGTTCAGGTCTTATGTTTCCTTATTGATTTTCTGTCTGGATAATCTATCCATTGCTGAAAAAGGGGTATTAAAGTCCCCCACTATTATTGTATTGAAATCTATCTCTTCCTTCAACTCTATTAATATTTTTGGATATATTTATGTACTCTGATGTTGGATCCATATACACTTACAATTATTATATCCTCTTGATGAATTGGCCCCTTTATCACTGTTTAATGACCTTGTCTCTTTTTATAGTTTTTGACTTAAAGACTATCTTGTCTGATATAAATATAGCTATTTC